CCCCCCCCCCCCCCCTCCACAGCATAAAAAATGTAAATCTTAAAGCTAATTGGCTGCACTCCATTTGAGACAAAGTTTGTCTTGGAGACACTTTATTAATTTCCCCATTGTGTTTACAGGGGAAGTGGAGTGATGTCATGGGTGACATCATCACATTTCCTGCGTGTCCAGCAGACACCTTTTAACTAGAGCAGAAGTGATCTTGCACTAGATATGCTGGATGGCATTTTGGATCAGCGGCAAACACATCCGCATACACAACGTCATTTGGTATTTTACCAGTTATAAACATAAATGCCAGTGTGCCAATTTGTGTCTACTGTACATCATTTTTGTTAGCATAACATTAACATAAGGCCAAGTTGTTACTGTGCAAACAGATTTTCTCCATCTTCCCTATGGATTGCACCTACACATATTATATACCTTTTTTTTAAAGGACAAAATGCACTTAATTTGCTGTCATATATGCATATATAAATTCAATTAAAAAAAAAATAAACAATGCAAAACAATTTAAAACACATTTTTCACAGTTTCGGCAATAATATTGTCTATATAATTAGTGTAGCTAACAGTAATTCATAATTTATTTTATTTGTCCTGATTTATATGGTATATCCTATGTCTGGAATTTTACCTTTTTTTATTTTGGGAGTTTTAGGTCACAAAATACAATGAGTGAAATACAATTCTAAAAGTGACAATTTTTATTAAAGTAGCATGTAAGTGATACATAACTTTAGGCATCAGTTAAGGCATCAAAATTACTAATATTTCACCAGAAAGCACATTGTATATACAATTCCGTTTTCCGTTATGGGGTTGTTTAATTATACATCACAATATATGATTTACCCACATTTCCATTCAACATCTTTATATTTCGTGGCTAGGTCCTCATTAATTATAGCATATATTGTATTGTTCTGGCTCGTCTTATCTATAGAACTCAAAATCTAACCGATATCTATCTAACTTGATGTATCTATACCTAATTCAACATCTTTATAACATCGAGAAGATATAGCGATGAAGGAAGCATAGAAAAGAGTGTATACGAGCATCTTCCAGGATTGCTATCCGCATGAACAGCACATACCAGGATCCCCTGCCTCCCGCACTCCCCACTTCTTAACCAAGCTCCCTCCGTGCCCCCCTCATTTGGCCATCCCTCCCCCATCCCTCAATCTGTGCTCTCCTCATAAGCATCCCATGCTCTCCATACCTCTTTATGGGCTTCAATTGTGTTATTTAGCCGTGCTGTTAGGTATTCCATTAACTGTACGTCTTTAATTCTAGCATATAGATCAAGTTTCGATGTGGGGAGTTTACGTTTCCATTGCAGTGGTATGAGACGGCGGGCTGCCGTGAGAATATGCAATGTCAATTTCCTATTGGCCCTTGAGAGGTTAGGGAAGGTTAGTCCCAACAAGTAATGTATGGGGTGTTCGGAGAGTGTCTGTCCAACTAGCAATTCCAAGATACGTTTGACCTCTCTCCAATAGGGTAGAATTCCCGGGCAAGTCCAGAATATGTGGTATAGGGTGCCGCTAGTACCATCACACCTCCAGCAATTTGGGGACAACTTTGGGTTGAGTGTATGGAGGAAATCCGGCGTGTGGTACATTATTTTATATTGATTTTCTCTATATATCGAGCAAATCGAGGATTTTGCAGCCATCCTCCATATACGTTCCCATTGCTGGGGTGAGATTGTAGTCGCCATGGCATTTTCCCATTTCCGCATATATGGTGAGGTAACCTTGCCCTGCTCCGAGTCATCCAATACGCTATAGAGAAAGGAAATCATACCCCTAGAGGAGTGTGGCACCAAACAGTGAGTTTCAAATGGGGTGCGTGAGGGGAAGGTTAATGTTTTGGTGATCGATTGAGCAAAATGTTTGATTTGAAGTATGAGTAGAGAGCTCTGGCAGGGAGGTCATGCTTTTCCTTTAGTTGTTCAAATGGCAGTATCCTGTTTGTAACCTTGTCTAGTAAGTCTCTAAGGTGAAACAACCCTCTGGATTGCCACATCTCCACCCACTCCCTAGATACCCCTGACTGTAATTTTGGGTTCAACAGAAAGGAAGTCAGTGGGGACCGATCCGTCGTCAGGCCTTTAGGGATCTTAACCTTGTTCCAGATTTCTAGCATAAGCTTTGTGGAGGAAAGCATTGCTCCCTTGGGTATTTGCACTGGGTTGGACCACAGCATTGCATTAGGGTGGATCGGTGCAAGCCAGAGGCCTTTTATTGTCACCCATCCCATAGGTGGATCAAACCTTGATAGGGCCGGTACTACTCTCAGTTGGGCCGCTCGGTAGTATGTAGAAAAATGTGGTAGAGCCTGACCTCCCTTAGCTGTCGGAGCATGTATTATCTTTTGTGACACCTGATGTCGCTTTCCATCCCAGATATAGTTTAGTACCTCCTTTTGGAAAGATTTTAAGTCTACGGCTGGTATTCTTACCGGTAACGTGGTAAAATGGTACAACAGCTTTGGTAATGTCATTTTCACTGAAGTCAATCTGCCAGTAAATGACAGTCTCAAGGGCTTCCATCTCTGTTGATGGAACCTTAGTGGTTGAAACAATGGTTTATAGTTGGTTGCATATAGCGAGTGTATGTTATGTGTAAAGAAGATTCCCAAATATTTAATTTTATCACTTTTAAACTGGAAGGGAATATGGTTTGTAATGAGGTCACTTTTGCGGGGCATATATTCAAAGGGAGGACTTCAGTTTTGCCTAAGTTAAATGTACAGCCCGATACCATGGAGTAATTATGAAGTTCTGATTGCAAATTTGGTAAAGACCGTTGTGGGGATGTTATAGAAAGAATTACGTCATCTGCGAACAGAGCTAATTTAAATTGGAGTTTCGGATGAGCCTGACAAAGACCCTGACAGGTCCGAGCCCTCTGGTTCCGGCTGTGTGTGTGCCGCGACATTCGGCCCTCCACGAGGCGTTCGGTAGTCAGGCGGCGCCATTTTGTGAGGCATGGACTCCTGCGGCTCACTCGGGTCAAAAAACGACTTAATCGTTTTGGACTTTTTTTTAAATTTAGCTTCTGTGTCTGCTGAGACTTGGCTGACTGGCGAGGTCCATATTTGCCCATGTCAGCTGCTGAATGTGGCTGTTAGGCTGTCTATTTAGACGGCCCGAGTCGGAGCCTTCTGAGAATGCGGCTGGTTCAGGCGGCCATCAAACCACGCCCCCGAAATGCAATTTTAGAATATGGTATGTTTGCTTCCTAACTTTAATAGCCTCCTCGGAACTATATTTTGACTTTTCTTTAACTTTTTTAAAAATGTTAAAAACTTATTTTTTTTTAAAATCGAATATATTTTTCTAAAACTAGGGGGAACTAAGGGGTTATTCTTTTTTTATTTACAGGGGCTTTGATACTGTATTCTACTCGGAGATAATAAGTATTCTCCTCAGAGATACTTTATCACTTTTGTAACACACATCCTGATAGCAGGTTCAAAACACTGAGCTGCTGCCGCCTCTGTGACGGTCACAGCGATCAGCTGTTGTTGTGATTACAAGACTGTGACCACCTAATCTGCTGTTGAGCGTCTGCCTCGGACCTCGAGGGACCCATCAACAGCAGTGACTTCGTGGACAAGCGCTCATTGTACCGCATGATGGGATTATCCTGTCATTGGCTGTTAACGAACTGAACGATCATGATGGGGTAATCCTGTCATCAGTCAGAAAGGGGTTAACCATTAACAATAATGTACCTTAATTGTACATCACTTTGCTGTAGATCCTCAAATTATCTCTGAATTGGGGTCGACAATGCCCTTCCTTCTGGAGGGTGGCTACTTTTGGTCTCCATGGTCCTGTGTGTGTTGTAAAGTAGCCACCGCTCCAAGCTCACTCCCGTGATGGACTACAATCTCAATACAAATTAGTAAACTCAACATGAGCTTGAAGTCCACAGGAGTGAACTCGGAGCGGTGACTACTTTACAACACACCATGGGGAACAGAGGTAGCCATCATCCAGAAGGAAGGACAGTGTCAGCACCAATTCAGAGATGATTTGAGGATCTGCAGCTGAGTGATACACAAATAAGATACATTTTTGTTAATGGTTAGGGTACTTGAATGCATTTTTAGGATTTAACTTATGACCACCCAGTTTTGGCCACTCTCATGATTCTTTTATCTGTAAGAGAAAACCCATCATGTATAATTCTATACTTAAACAGGAGCCTTCTGTACAGCACTGGATCTTGTCACTTCAGCATTAATATTTTTACAGTGTAAACATTACATTGCATACATTTTAACCTTTTATCCTTTTGTTCTCATTCCACAGCTACTAGGACATCTGATGATTGTTGGCAAGAAATGTGCTGCTGATCTGGGCTTGACAAATGGCTTCCGGCTGGTCGTCAATGAGGGACCAGATGGTGGCCAGTCTGTGTACCACGTTCACCTGCATGTTATTGGCGGGCGTCAGCTGGGCTGGCCTCCAGGCTAATGGCCCGCAATGCACTAGATAAAAACAAAGCGATCTCATTCTGTCCTGTCAGAAATGCAGTCTCTAAATGTCCACCTCTGGTACATAATTATTTGCTCAGACGAGAATACACCTGACCTGCTCAATGTGGAAGTATAGCATGGCAAAATAAAATGAGTTGATTACTTCAGTCTTGTGGATTTTTTTTACGCTGTTTACTTTGACTAACCATTAAGGGATTTTTACCTAAAGACTCAACATAGCCAAGCAGTGTTACTTTATGTAAAATACCTTCCAATACCTGTCACAGTTGTGTGCATAGAATTACCTATGTCTGTAAAGAAAACAAAATATTCTGAGTTGTCATTTTAGCATAAAGCAGGGGTTTTTGTTTCCAGCATTTACCGCATAAAGTGTATCTACATCTCTACAAAACATGCATATTCCCTATATTTTATCTCTTTAAAGCCCATTCAGACCTCTCTCTAGAATGGTGCGTTGCAGGAACATCAATGGCACTCCAAAACAATAAAGTGACACTAACAGGGTTATTCACAAAAGGGTGAAGGAGTTGGAGAAGTGACCAACTTAGGCTGAAATAGCTGATTTGGAAAAATTATCCAATTCAGCTCACTTTCCAGTTCAGCTATTTTGGCCTAGATTGTTCCCTTCTCCTGCCTTCTCCAAACTCTTCATGCTATACTGCTTGCTAGGAGGGGATAAATGTAAAAAAAAAAAGAGCATTTTAGTACCACTTTAATCCAAGCCAGCTCCAATGCAAATGCATTACAGCACTTCACAAATCACCACCTGCATTTAAAAAATTGTGCATGCCTTATTTCTCAATCTTTTCTTGTGTGTTAATGCAATTCACTAGAACTGACTGGGAATGGGCCTGCAAGTACAGAAAAATACCTGTTGCCCTGCCAGAAATGCACTCCGCTCAAAAGTCCTGTTATGGGCCAACAACACAGCATTTTTTTGGATTTACAAAATAAAAATACATCTGTCCAAATATACTGTATGTGCCATAAAAAAAAGGTATACCATTTTACCGAGTTCCTATGGATGGCCACTGTTGTTTAGTTGGAAAAAGGGCAGGCTTAAAGGCCAGTGACATCACATTCTAACTCAGGAACTGCAGGCCCGCTCTGCTTTGGCGTGGTACCCTCCTTTTCCCTTTTACTGGCTGAACTGCCCCTGCATGTTAAAATTACTATGGGTCTGAATCCAGGGATAATGTTGACAGCATGGAGAGAAAGAATGGCAGATTCACCAGGTATTGTTCTTTTAAATGAAAACATAAAATGGGGCATAGTAAACATAAATAAACTGTAGAGTAGAAAATATTTTTTTTCTTAATAAACATTTTAACAGAAAAAACATAAATTTGAACCGCATCTGTAAAGACGCTTAACAGGGGGAGACTGAGCCAGGAGAAGATTCCTCCTCCCTCTGCCTAGCTGAACTGAGGTGAGAAGGGAGAAAGCAGCTGGCAGGTTCCCAGACGGACCCTCCGTAGAGAGAGTAGGCAGCGAATAGCTATGCGCTGCTTTGTGTCTGCACTTGTCTGTCCTTAGGTGATCACTTCCTGATCTTAGAGGAGAGGGGAGAAGTAGTGATACAATCAGCTGTTATAGCTTGCTGTATTGCTCCCTGCAATGTATTGTGTTAGGAACCCCTGCTTATTGGACACGGAGCACACAAATATACATATACAGGGCACTGCTCCATGTATAGTTTGTGGCCCAGTGACTACAGTGACATTCCAAGGAGCACCAGATATAGAGGTCCTGAAATTTAGACAAACTCACCAATGTTTAAGGGGCACTGTCAGGGGATCCCAGTGCAGGTGACCCCACACCTGCACAGGTACCCTTACAGGCAGACCAAACACATGTGACCACACGGACCAGGTAAGTATGGTATATATAAAATATTTTAATAAACCTAGCAAGCTAACTAAAACAATCCACAACAGGCATAAACCAAAAATGTAACCACACAGGAAACAGGGTACTAACATAGCATGCAAATATCAGGGTCTCAGGGTTCAGGCCAGAGGACTCAGACAACAGGGGAAAGCAACAAAATCCTGAGCCAAGGTCCAGACTGCAGGGAGGGTTTAAATACTCTCCCAGGAGTATTACCTAATGGGCTGATTCCTGACAGCTGGGAGACACCCACAGGTGAGCACTGGAGCTGCAGGTACCAGCACCACCCAGTGGTGGTCTGGCACCTAGTAGCCCCTGGCTGCCTGGAGAATCCTGCAGGTGAGCCCAGGAACTGCAGGGCTCAGCTCCAGCGCCACCTGGAGGCGCTCTGGATCCTAACAGGCACTGAGATCTGCATCTGGAGTCAATAGCTTCTTAGTCCAGATAAAGGGGCCAATTGTATCGCAAAACGAAAAATCCTTCTCATTTTAGTTTTCTCCCTGGTTCCTATCTATTGCTTTGACACTGGCAGATAAATGGTCATGGCAGACAGCCTTACTGATATTGACACAGGCACATGTGCATACACGGAAGAACAGACTGACTGGTTTGGCAAATGGTCTAATTATCTCTGACAGACGACTGGCATTGACACATACTGTATAAATGGACGTAGGAAGACTGGGCAGGCAAACTGACTGGGAATCTATTAATTTTCCACTGACAGGCATTTGGAATGGGAACTGACAGACATAAAGACGGACAGTGATAATCTATTGGGCCCTGGCAGACTGATTTGTCATTTGTAGGGACAGATATACATGGATTAACATACAATAGATATATTGATTAATAATGGCAGCTCAAGTAACATTGAATACTCTGGGCTGATAAACAGGGCTCTGACACAGATGTAGACTGAATGTTAAAGATGGTTTGATTAGCAGTCATGAACATACTGCCACAGAAAGATTGTCTTTGGTGGTGAACTTGACTTTGACGCAAACATACTAACATAAATGGACCAATACAGATGGACAGCAGATTTGTTTAGCTAAGGAAGGTGGATGGGCCTAGCACATTGCTGAAAAGATCGATTAAGGGCTTGTGATGACGTTATCAGTTTGAGACACTTCTAGGATCATTCAAAGTTTGCCTCCATGTGACCTGCATTTGATCTGCTTCAAGGGGTAAAATGCAGATATGTATAGGCACAACTTGCTTGGAGTGAACAAAAGTCTGACGGCGCATGCCCTGACGCTGATGTTTATAAAGACTGGTGCCAGGTTGAAATTGGAAATATTTGTGGTAAGGAGAGATGGACATACCTGGAGGGAAACGCAGGCCAGAATTTGATGGACAGGCACATTATACACGCAGATGTATGATTCTTTTTGATGGACTACAATCTCAATACAAATTAGTAAACTAACCGTGATCTGTAGTCCATCACAGAAGCGAGCTTGGAGCTGTGGCTACTTTACAACACACACAAGAAGAACCGTGGGGGAACAAAAGTAACCACCCTCCTAGGTTTGACTAGGTCACTGTCGCCCTGAGGAAGCAACCCTGCGTAACCCCGAAACGTTGGTTTGATTGAAGTTTGTGACACGTTTAATAAAAAATTAACAAGAATTCTGCATCTTGTAAGTGCTGGTGATTCCATTCATCCGTATTGTGAGAACACGGGTGACATCCGTGTCATCACTTCGAGCATCGCTATTCAGAAAGAGAACCTAATTAGGGGAATGGAAGACCAGAGCTATGAGACAAGGCTACTGAATTTAAACATGTTCACATTGGAAGTAAGGAGATTAAGGGGGGATATGATTTTCATGTACTAGATGTTCAATGGTGACATTAGCAACAAACTCTTTAAGTTTAACTCCATTACAAAGACTAGAGGCCACCACCTAAAATTGGTGGATAAAAAATTCCAGCACAAGGGGCGAAGGGGGTTCTTCACAGTAAGAGCGGTTAGGGTCTGGAACTCACTGCCACAGGCGGTGATTTCAGCTAAGAGTGTGGAAATGTTCAAGACACTTTTGCACGATTTCCTGAGGGACCGTAATATACAGGGGTACAAGTATTCCTAAGAATGAGTTGAATGTGGACCTATATGGGTTGGACTTGATGGACATATGTCTTTATTTAACCCCAAATACTATGTAACTATGCAAAAGGTCTATACATATAGCCGTATGAAGTGCAGGTGACAAACCACAACATCTGCCATTAAAGCACTTCTGTTGCAGGCTGGGAATGATAAATCACTACCTCACAATTAGCAGCAGCATTGACAGCCTGCCAAGCCAGCTCATTTAGTTAGTCATTGGGCTGACTGTCTGATACACCTAAAGGTGCCCACACACCTTGCGATAATTGTACGATAATCCCGGGAAATCCCACGATCGTACGATTATCGTAAGGTGTGTCTACTACTGTAAGGTTGCACGACTTTTATCTTACGAACATGTTCGAAAACCCGCCGAGCATTGTACGATTTTCGGCAGGTGTGTAGCATGTTCGTAAGATAAAAGCCGGGCGGGCCGGTGTGCGCAAGCGCACGCTGCCCGTTCGGCATTGCGGTCATCGGAAGCCCGCCCCTCAGCGGGGCAGGCTTGCGGTCATCGCAAGTACGATCTGGCTGTCCAAAATTAGCAGATCGTATGTTTTTTTAATTACCTTGCAACCATCGCAAGACAAAAGTCTTGCGATGGTTGTAAGGTATGTGCCCAACATTATAGAAAGTTCAGCCAAATAATTGACTACAATGCAAATTGTGAGGCATTGGCTTGGTGGTGTCACACTGCAACAGGAAGTGCTGTTACTAGAAGGATCTACCGGTAAGAAACTTTGGAACAGAATCAGAAAAATATTTTTTTGAGAAAATTATATACAGTGAGTGAGGCATGATCTTGTACATACTGGAAAGGAGATCTTATCTATTAATTGGAACATCAGGTCAGATGTCACCTGAAGCGTTTCATCCCAGTCACCAAGACCACAGTCCTGAGACTAGGATGAAACATGTCAGATGACATGTGGTGATGCCCCCTGTGTGATGCCAACTGGAGCAGGAAACTCCTGCTGCTTACAGCACATAC